TAGAAATGAAATCGGATTAATGATTGGTGTGTCATAATCTGATGAGCTAGTAGTTGATGAATTTGAGGACTCGTAATTATAATCTAAGGTAGATGACGACGAAACTGTTGATGAATCCGTGCTTGATATTGGTGCTGAAGGTTGCGAGAATTCCAAGAGCTCGGTTGGATTATCTGAAAAAGTTTCTTCTGAATTATTATTCATGTTTTGTTGTTGACCAAGTTCACTTGTACCTTCCTTTGTCTCTGTGTATGTAGTAGGTTGTGCTCCCAAAGAATTTACTACTTGAAAAGACATTCTTTGCTTATGATATTCTAAAATAAAGTAGGACTTAAAAAAAAATAATAATAACTCTCACTTTTTAAAAGGAATCAAATTATACCGATCTATTTATTAAGTTTAGAAAAAAAGAATAACTAAAGGTTACGACTAATAATTGTTTTGCATCGTCTTTGTTGTCGTTTTATGCTTACCAGCCCCCTTATTAAAGTTTCAAATTATGATTGGTCATGATCGGATTTATTGAGTAACACCGAAATCTTCTATGTCACTTCCTACCTTATATATCACGCATAACGTTAAAGGTTGTATAGTTTATCATTTTGTATTTTTAATAAAATTTTAATATAGTATTATCAAGTTTTACTTTTTATTATTCTAGGTTTTATCTAGTAATCTAATAGTTATTATATATTAATTCTAAATAATATAACGATAAGAAAATTACTACGTTCACCGGTGGTGATCGTCACCGGTGTCCCGTGATCTATATTGTCACTTCTCTGTCTTTCAATTTTACTATTTATTCCAGGAACTTCATCATGAAAACTTATTCATTCACAAATTAATTGTCACTTAGGTAATTGTCATACCGTCTATAATTCCGGCCGGAATTATAAATTCGGCCCGAATTAACACCGGTAATCATCATAACCAATGATAAATAACAAATTCCTTTATTAAATTATTAAATTATAATCAAGTAAAATTTATCATAAAAATACTTATATAAACTTATATATTATAATATTAAAAACTTAAAAGATTTTTATATTAATTGAAATCATAAAATCAAACATTTTACTTAAAAAAATTATATTATTAGATGATAGTTTAAGAAATTTACCAAAAAATATTAATATCAAAAATATTTGATTTCTTAATATTTTTGAATTTATTTAAAATAAATAGATTTCATCAGAATAAATTAGTCTAAAGCTGAAATAAACTAATAAAAAGCTAATAAATTTATTTTTAATAATAAAGTTTATTTAATATTATTTAATCTTTAAATTAAAACTTGAAAATATGTTTAAATAATACTTATATTAGTAAAATAAAATCTAATTTAATATAAAATATTAATAATATAAAAAAATATCAAAAAACCTTTTTTCTTAATTACTAATGTATTTTTAATAAAATTTATTTTAAATAATATAGTCTATCCTTAATATAGTATGATGCTTAATTAATTAAATATATCAATTTTTTCTTTTTAAAATGAAGTAACTAATTAAATCCTTCAAATTCTTCACTAATTTGCTATAATAAAGTTGAGATGCAGAACAGCTACTTATATTAAGGTTAGACTATAATTAAAATAATAATAAACTTAGAATATAAAAAATTAACTTTATTAAATAATATAAAAAAAAAAAAATTAATTAATTTATTATACTATATAATATCATTATTTCTCTTTTATTATTTATATCATATCTCTCCTTTCTTTATTTATCATATATATTCTAGAGACTTAAAAATTTTTTAATTATAAAAAATTTATTCTTCACACCTTACATTAAATATCACATGTTTTAATTTTGGTTAGCATTATATAATTTTATCTAAAGATTATACATTATATATAGAATGATAAATAAATTTAAAAGAAAAATTATTTAAATATTAATAAATAAAAATTATATTAAACCTTTATTATAAATAATATCCTTATAAATTTATAATATTTATATTATTACAAAATAAATTTGCTAATAGAAAGATTATTTAAAAATCAGATATAACATATTATAATAATATTATTAATATAATAAATATAAATTTTAAAACTGATTTTTTTTTATTATAATAATATATAAACGTTTTACATTAGAAAAAAAGGAAAATACTAAAAAAAATTTATTTGAGTTAATATTAAATCTGAATTTATTTTACTAAAAAAAATAATATATACAGTGGCCCACAAAAGAAACGCAAGTGTGATTGGTTACCTTTGAACGGCTATAACTCATCAACCACAAAT